GGCCCCGCCAGGGAGCACCCCAACCATCCCCATATAGGATCCGAACCCCCGGTGGGAGCGCCGCTGCGCTCCCAGTGCCGCACTCTCCCGAGTACGCCACGGGCTCGGCCAGATGTCTGTCTTTTATTTTTTTTTTCCTTTTTGTCTTTTTTACTGACCGGTAATGGGATCGCAACCCTCGGTGTCGCGCCCGTACCGGGGACCAGCAACGGGATCGCAACCCTTGGTGTTGCGCCCGCACCACGCTCAGCCAGTGAGTGGGAACCGGTCTCCACATGGGATCCGAACCCTTGGCGGGAGCGCCACTGCGCTCTCAAGCGGCGCACTCTCCAGTGCGCCACCAGGCCGGCGCAGATGTCTGTCTTTAATGTCTGTCTTTAATGTCTGTCTTGTCTGACATTTGAAGTTATGTAATCTTTTTCCTTAGTTTCTCCACTTCTAAAATAGAGACAATGATAGAATATCCTTATAAATTGTTGGGGGCATTTAATGAGATAATATTTTTAAAGTACTTAGCACAAGTTCAAGCAAAATGAGGACTCAGTAATGAAAGCTGGCTATTATTATTATATTTTTGTTATTATTTGACACTTTGACCTTTTTGCATATATGAAGTTTTAATACCACACTGGCCAGTTGGTCAGGATCCTAAGTTGGTGTCTAAAATCAGGTGTCAGGGGAAGAGTAAGGTTTATCCTGACAAGCCTCTCTCCTCAGTCATTGTGCTCTCTAACATTATAAATCTCAGCTACTGTGCAATACCCAAACTTCAAAAGTCATTTATTAATATCTCCTTGGGTTCTGGAATTTGCTATGCCCATGTATTCACTTCTTAAAGCATTAATGCTGAAATGGTCCTCAGAGATCATCTTATCCAATCCACTTATTTTACAGACTGCTGAGGATACTAAGATGTGAAGAGGGGATCAGCCATTCCTGGCGACACACAGTTAGGGGGTGGCAGAGCTGGAGTCAGGGCCAGGTCTCCAGGTGTGATGACCATGCTCCTTCCAATACACTTTTCTGTCTACCCTGGAGTTGTGCTCTCGGAGTCTCAGGCCATGCTTTCCTTGGTCATGGAGCTCCTGAGGACAATTTGCTCTTTTCTGAGTAGTCAGCTATTTCCTTACATTGGTGAGCATCTAGCATTTCCAGATAACATGACGGGGACCCACATACAGCTCTTTATGGGGACAGTCTGGTGACCTGAAGAGCTGGGGCAGGATACAGACAGTGAGACACATGCTAGTGTCAACACCAAGGGGCCAGGGACCCCAGCAGCAATTACTACCAAAGCTTCCTTCTTCCCCCTCCAAACTTAACAAACTCGCCCCTACTTGCACTGAGTCTTAAAGAGAATTGAGACTGGACTCTTCACTGTTTTGCTGTAGTTCTCATTTTACAGATGAAGAAACAGGCTCATAGAGATTAGGGAACAGGCGTAAGCTCATACAACTATCACAGCTTCAATTTCAATCCAAGTCTCTTTGACTATAGTGAAGTAGTTAGGATTAGATCTGTAATGCCGAGTAGTATAGCACTTATGAAATACGACTGCTATGAGGATTAAGTGAGCTCATGAAGGTGAAAGTGCAAACCGAAAGTCCCAAAGGGAATAACTATCTTATTCATCTTTGTATCACCAGTTTCTGACATATTGTTGGTAATCGATAGATTTTTGGGAAATACATCTGTGAATGTTTAAGTTAACAAATGGATGAATGAGTAAAGAAATGAGCCACCTAGCACAGGCACCTGAAACACAAGCAGTATTCAAAAAAAGTTCCTTTTCCCTCCCTCTCTCTGGAGGGTGGAGGCCACATTTGCAGTCTTTGTGCCTGGCACTTGGTAGGCCTCGATGAGGATGTGTAGGTGGAATGACTGACTCTCAGGGGCTCTGAGCCTTTGAGGTGACAGGAAATGTTTGTCTTCTCAGCTACAAGTGGAGGCCAGTGCTCTGAGTTCCAGGAGTGGTATGCTACTTTGGTCAGGGCTTCCCTCTGCTGCACGGCAAAGGCCACTCATCTTCCAAGCTGACCCTGGCTTAGTAGTTACCCAGACTCAGTGTTGGGCCCAGCTGCATGCACAATGGAGGGGAGCAGCAAATCCTCCAGCTGCAGAACAGCCAGCAATGAGGATACGGCCACCAGTGAGCAGAGGACGCAATCTGACCGGCCACACTCAACTTAAGTCCATTCCTCCGTCCTGCCTCTTTTTCTCTGTCTCTCCAAACCTTAGTTCCCTGTATCTGGTGAGTGAGTAAAGCAGTGTCTCGAAGAGTGCCTGGCCTATGGTAGTTGCTCAATAAATACTGGTGGAATGAGTAAATGAATAAATGAAAACAGGACTGAAGGAAGAGACAGGCTGACTGATGTGTGTCTATTTATTGGCACAGAGTCCTACAGGGCCAAGACCACACCCTCCCCACCTTCTTCCCTGTAAAAATAAACTCTATCCTTCCTTCTCCCACCTCTATCTGCTTTCCTGCTTGCTCCAGGGAAAACCAGTCACCCACTAAGATTTGTGTCTTAAGACACAGGAACCAGCACCCCTATATACACACACTTTCCCTCTCAGCCCAGGAAAACAGGGGGGCAGCAGGAAGGCTTTTAAAGACGCTCAGGCTTCCACTAAGAGCTGAGCCAGTTGGCCTGTCTGTGAGGGTCAGCAACAGTAATGGGAGCCACAGCACAAGGAGCATGGTGTAGGGGCAGCCCCCGAGTGTGGGGCCAAAGTGGGCCAAGGCCACTCCCAAGTGAGCACTTGGTGAACCTCGGGGAGAAGCTGGGGAGGGACACCACCCAGGCCCTGCGTGGTCAGAGTGGGGCAGGCATAGTGGGCCCCATGGCCACCAAGCTGAGTGAGCTTGGGGCCAGAAGAGGCAGACTCCTTCCTGAGGGGACTGTACCCTCCTCCAGGCAGGGTAACATGGAAGGATGTCACAGTGAATGGTGGGGGCTCTGCTGGAGGCAGGGGCATCCCCAAAGCAGAGGCACGATGTGGTGGTTGAGTAGGGACTGGGACTCATGTCGCCTGTGGTGTGGAGGGGCCCAACTTGTTTTTGCTTTCTCCCAACCTTGGGAGCAAACAGCCTTGCCTAGAGAGCTGCCCCAGGCCCAGCACCAGTCACCCATTTCTCCCCAGATCCAGGCCTACCACACCTCACACAGCTGCCCTGGGTTCATGGGGGAACCAACAGGGCAGCCGAAGTGCCGCAGAAAGTCACGGGAGTTGGAGAGAGTGCCCAGCACGCGGAAGCGAGCAGGGCTGTGGGGATCGGTCACCAGCCCCTCGTGAGAGCTCTCTGGTGTGCGGACCGAGCACCACACCTGCGGGCCAGGACAGACATGGGACATGTGGAGTCTAGAGCAGAACGAGCCACAGACTTGGCTATAGCAGAACCAACCCAGGGGCACAGACCACCACTGCCCCAGCCCCTCCGCTCAGGAGGCCTCAGGGACACTGCAGGGGGCTCAGCCAGCATCTCAGTTCCAACCACTTTGCTATCAGCAAAAAGGGAAGAGAATGTGCTTTCCCTCCCAAATTCCTTGAAGAATTCCTTCCAAAACTGCCCTGGACATCGGTTGCCCAGCATGGACATGGTTGAGGTGGAAAAGCAGAGGTCCCAGAGGCTGCCTGCTGTGGTGCAAAGTACCTAGAGGAGAGCTCACCCAAGTCCTCACTCCACACTTACTTTATTCCTGGGTAGCCCTGGACAAGCCCCTTTGTGCCCCTGAGCTTTAGTCTCTTCCTTCATACCTACCTCACAGGAGCATCGTGAGGATAACGACTGCTCCCCTTCCTGCTCCCTCCAGCTGGGCAGATCTGCCCTTTGAGATGGGCACACTCCTACTGAGGAGTTCTCCCTCCTCAGGCCTCCCCAGGCTGCCTAGAGGCTTGGGGACAAGGCTGTCCCAGCCCACCTTCCTCACCCCAACTTCTGCTCCATTTCCCAGCCCCTTTCCTGCACACCCCAGACTTCTTATATCATACTCCAGAGGGAATGGGATGGAGCCCTCCAGGCCTCCCAGGAGGGCAATACCTGGGCAAATCCCACAAAGAAGAGCTGGTGGTTGGTGAGCCCCACGGCTGGCAGCTGCTGCTCCTCCCCATGCTTTCTCAGCCATGTTTCATATGCCTGGGTGGGCACAGTGGGCGGCAAGTCCATCAGGGCCTGCCCACATCCACCCACATCCTTCCACCCCAGCTGCTCGGTCTCAGCCACTGAAGGGCTGACCAGGCCACTCACATTGTAGGCAGCCTTGAGCCCCCCATTGTCGGCGATGTTCTCCCCCAGCGTCTGGCGGCCGTTGAGCCTCTCCCCATTGACCTGGTACTGGTTGTACTGCTCCTCCATGCAGGCCGTGTGGTTCTGGAAGGCCGCCAGCGACTCGTTCTGCCACCAGGGCCGCAGGTTCCCCTCCTTGTCATACTCACGCCCTGAGGAGAACTCACCCTTGCATGCCACCAGACCAGCACTCACCCAGAGCACCCCCACCAGCCCTGGTCCCCCGGGGCCTGCCCCAACATCCCAAGGGATTTCAGGAGCCATGGGGAACTCTAGGCCAGAGGGGACAACTCCACAGGTCTCTACCTTGGTCATCAAAGGCATGTGTCAACTCATGGCCCATTACCACGCCGATGCCACCAAAGTTCAGGGCCCTGGTGGGTGAGGAATGCTGAGTGAGGTCATGTTAGGCCACTTCCAGAACCTACTACCAGCTCTGCTCCAAGCTCACCCACAGGCCCAGGCCCTGGCACCCAGCCCTCCTGTCTCAGACACACTTTGGGTGGTTGCAGGCATAGAAGGGGGCCTGCAGGATGCCAGCAGGGAAGACGATTTCGTTCTTGGTTGGAAGGTAGTAGGCATTCACTGTCTGGGGGGTCATGCTCCACCTGGGGGAGGAAGAGGGAGAGGCTGAGGCTCCTGACTCTCCTGATACCGCTCCCAGCCCAGCAGTCCTATCCTACCTTCTGCAAGGGCCTGTACTTCCGGTCTGGGATGAGCCATGCCATCCCTTTCCCCCATCCCTCAAAACCTTTCCCCACCTCTTTTGCTGCCCCAAGTGTCTGTGGCCCCCCATTCTCACTGGTCTCGGCTGGGAGGCTTACGGAGCTGGTCAGCCATCACCTTAGCAGAGAAGTTATACAAATTCAACATGTTTTGGAAAAAAGAATCTTCAGAGACTTCATACTGTGGGAATGGTGGGAAGTAGAAAGCAAACAAGAGAACATGTTGGAGAAGATAATAGTCCCAGCTTGACTACTAATTAGCACCTCTCCAAGCCTCAGTCTCCTCAACTATAAAATATCAAGTAATAATTGCCAATATTTAAAGAGCACTATGTTGCAGATGTTGTATTTTTCACACACTGCCTTCTTTTCTTATCACAACCCCCCTATGAGGTAGGTACTAGTAGAACCCCATTTTACAGATGAAGAAACTGAGGCCTGGAGACATCTGGCCCAAGGTTACACAGTTAGGGATAGAAACAGGCTTTGATTCAGGTTTGACTACAAATCTCTGCTTGTTAACACTATATTTTACTGCTGTGTGGCCCACAGCCTGGCACAGAGCCAAAATTTAAGCACTGTTGTTAGACTGCATCTGCCTCTGAAAGGAGCCAACATGCAATGCACCTCTTTCCCTGCCACCACTGCTTGAGTCCCAGTTACAGAGCCCAGGGAATAGTGTCCCCCCACAATGGAGCTGAAGCCCAATACTGGTTAGCACAGGTACTCACCCCATCATAAACATCATCCAGCTCTTTGGGCTCCAGGATGAAATCCGGGAAACCAATCATATCATAGATAGCGTCTGCCTGAAGAGACCAGGTTAAAGGTTTCCCTCTCCAGACTCCCAGCAAAACTGTATCTTCCATCCCCACCTCAAGATGGCGCCCCAACCCTAGCCACGGCTCACTTTCTCCTTGGCTGCCTGGCGCGTCTTCTCATCCATCCAAACCAGCTGTCCCAGGGCCTCCTCGAAGGCAGTCCGGATTTCGCTGATCATCCCCTCTGCCTGGGGGTGGGTTGAGGGCACAAGTCAGCCTCCTCCTGTACTTAACTCATCCCTGCTTCCCCATCCACCCTATGCCCCATCCTGGTCCCTCCAGGGGAGACGTGGGAATGGCTGGACTCATAAAATAGGGTGGAGCATCTGGAAACACCATTTGTGAAGGAACTGGGATTAAGGGTGGTTTTTTTCTCATAAAATAGGGTGGAGCATCTGGAAACACCATTTGTGAAGGAACTGGGATTAAGGGTGGGTTTTTTTTTCTTTTTTTTTTTTTTTTAAAAGATGACCGGTAAGGGGATCTCAACCTTTGGCTTGGTGTCAGCACCACGCTCAGCCAGTGAGCGAACCGGCCATCCCTATATAGGGATCCGAACCCATGGCCTTGGTGTTATCAGCACCGCACTCTACCGAGTGAGCCACGGGCCGGCCCTAGGGGTGGTTTTCTTTTTTCTAATTAATTTTTTTAAATCGACAATAAGTTAATTAAATTAAAATTATAATTTAATATAGTGCATTGATTTTTATCTGATTGTGAAAGAAAGGCATTAATAGAAAATTTGGAAAATTGAGAAGAGTTGAAGAAGAAAATAGACCATTCATAATCCCATTACTCAGAGATAACTTCTTTTAACCTTTTGATTATCTACTTCTAGAGTTTTTCCCTGCCCAGATATACATATAAAATATGGAATTATGCTGTATAACTGAAGAAGAAAATAGACCATTCATAATCCCATTACTCAGAGATAACTTCTTTTAACCTTTTGGTTATCTACTTCTAGAGTTTTTCCCTGCCCAGATATACATATAAAATATGGAATTATGCTGTATAACATATATATATATACATATTTTTTATAACCTACTCTTTTTCACTTAAAGATAATCATCAGTTTAAAGGCTGCCTCCATAATCCATCCTAATTAAAATTTATTTTTCCTTTACCCTATGGTTGGATATTCAAGCTGTTTTCATTTCCCCATACTACAAACAACACTGCCATAAACACCCTTGTGGATAATATGTTAAGCACATCCATTATCATCTCCTAATAAATAAATATTATTTTTTCTTATTATATAGGCAACAAATTCATTGTAGAAAATTTGGAAAACACATAAGTTTTTTTAAAAAAAAAATCCCTCAATCCCACTGCCCAAAGCAACCACTGTTGATTTGCTTATAAATTTTCTTCCAGTTGTTTTTCCTATGTGTACACACATATATGAACAATATGTTTTAAATAAAACAAGGGGATAGTGTTGGAGAAACTTGGAGACTCACGATTTCCTTGCTTTGCCGGTCAAAGGTGGCCTTCACAAAGAGGGAGCCCAGAGCAAAGCCAAGGGCGTCATCTGTGCTGGAGATGCAGGTCTGCCACCTCGGCATACAGGACTGTCAAGGGACAAAGAGCCAGGCCCCCAGAGATGGCTCTGTCTGCCAGTCTGAGGGCCTTTCTCTGTCTCTGGGGCTAGCCCTTCTCAGCTCTGGACAACAGAGGCCTGGGTCTGGGGTGCCGTCTCTCCCTTGGACTCCAGGAAAAATGAAGGGCAATGTCCCAAAGTGTGCCAAGCCCAGCAGTAAAACCTCAGGAGGAATACATGTGCTGTTCCCTCTATTCTAAGCACTCTCCTCTTAAGTGTCTAAGTGACCCATTGGAGTCCAGAAGTTTCTTTGCTCCACTCCACATCTCAGTCTTACATCCAGTCGGCCACTCATGCCAGAAACCTGGGAGTCATCCCAGCTTCTTCCATCTCCCTGACCCCCACATTCAGTCTATCACCAGTTTCTACCAACTCTACTTCTTCACCATCTCTCCTGCCTACCCCATTGCCCTTCCCCTCCTGTGACACTATCACCTCTTGCCTGAAAACTGCAGTTGCCTCTTAACTAGACACCTGATTCCATTCTCATCCCCTCCCCTGCCACTCTTCTCCATCTTCCATGTAGTCGCCATAAAGATTATCTAATACATGGTTACTCCCATGGTTCCCCATCAGTGAAAGAAGCAAGGCCAGACTTCCTAACACAACATCCAGGTCCCTTCATGGATTGCCCTATGCCCCCTCACTGAACTCAGCCTCTGTGTTGCCCTGTTCTCAAGCTCACACCAAAGCACGTGCACATCCACCAGGCTTCTTCTGGCCTCTGAGAATGTTCACATGCTGTTCCTCCTGTCTGGGATGCCCTTTTCCCCTACTTTCTTGAGGAACTCATTCTTCAAATGACACCTCTTCAGAGAACCTTTCCTGATGCCTTCCCCCACCGTTCCCCCAGGTAGAATGTGCTGTCCCCACCTCTGTCCTAGAGCACAATGAAGGTCTTTCACTTAATGTGTGCACTTATCACCCCCAAATATAATGTATTTGTTTATATGTCCACTCCACCCCAGGCTTAATGGTGCACCTTGAAACTACAAACAGCATTTATTCATCTTCTTCATCCACATCATGAAAGCTCAGTACCTATATATACCATAGACTGGGTAAGTGCTTCACTTGCATTAACTCAGTTAATCCTCGTGAGAACCTTGCAAACTATTCCTACTTCACAGACCCAGAAATGGAGAGTCAGAGAGGCTGGATGACATGCCCAAGGTCCCATAAGCTAAAAATGAAGGAGTTGGGATTGGAACCCAAGCCAACTTGATTCCAAATTTTATGCTCCATACTATGTACCTGTGCACCATGCAGCAAATGGTGCCTGACACACTGTAGGTGTGCAGCATTAGCTAGATTGGATCAGAAGGCAGGGGCAGAGTCAGAGAGCCCACCTTCTTGGTGCCATAAAGGGTTTCCAGCAGCTTCTCTTGTGCAGACTCAAAGCGTTGGTCCAGGCTTGAGGTTGTCTTCTGCACAAGGTTCCAGATCAGGTAATTGTTCAGGATGCTGGCATCCAGACCAGAAAATAAGGAAGGGGCATACAGGGTACCCTTTCCCCCCAAAAACCAGCCCATAGGGATGTGCAGGCATCAGGAGTCCTGAGAGGCATATGTGGAAGCTGTCCAGAGTGCCTCTTTTACCCTGGGACCACACACCTGCCTATAGAAGTCAAGTTGGAGCAAGGCATGGAAATAAAGATTGCAAATGGGCACCCTGAAACCCTGGCATAGAGAAAGAGCCTGCAGACATTCTGATTTGATGTTTGGAAGGTCCAGAGCCTTATCTCTTTTGGGGGGGGGGGGAAGCTGGCCAGTACAGGGATCTGAACTCTTGACCTTGGTTGCCTGCAGACATTCTGATTTGATGTTTGGAAGGTCCAGAGCCTTATCTCTTTTGGGGGGGGGAAGCTGGCCAGTACAGGGATCTGAACTCTTGACCTTGGTGTTACAAGACTGCATTCTAACCAACTGAGCTAACTGGCCAGCCCAGAGCCTTATCAAATGCTGCTCTGTCTAGTTGTGCCACTGCACTATGCCCAGTCCCTGCCGAGACTTTCACAGAGCCCTGAACCCCACTCCCAGGACCTTGGGCTTCCCCCCACCTTGGTTCCGTGCGGTTGATAAGCTCTGACACCTGCTGCAAATAATCCATCCCATAAACCACCACAGGCTCAGAGTCACTCAACTCCAATGGTGACAGCAAGAAAGACAGGAACTCAAGCCAGTCGATGGAGGGCGCCAAAGTCTGAAAGCAAAAAAATCTCAGGCCTCCCTGCCAGCCCACCTGGCTTCCTGCAGACCCCTCTCCCACTGACATGCTGTAGCCTGGGAGTCCTTCCCATTGCCATAGCAACAGCTACTGGCTGCTTGGTGACTCCTTCCTCCAATAAATCCTTTTCCAGGCCTGAGCACCCCCCAGTTTGGGAGCCTGACTGCTTATTATACAAGAAAACCCATCATGTGTGATATTAAGCTAGGGCACAGATATTCAAATATTTTCCTAACAGCTGATAAAATACCACTCCCCTGACCCCTCATACATTCCTGGCCTCTCCTCCAGAAAGCCCCCTTCCCCAACTTCTCCATAATCCAGCACCTAAAGTGTTGATACGTGGCAGAGTAAGGGTCCTCCAGAAGACACTTCCATATCTATTGTGATTGTTTTATGGACATTTCATACAAGTTGTTATAAATTTTTAACTCAAACCCTTCATGCATCCCCAGGCAAGAAGAAAGGGACCAAAGGATGGCCTAGCAAGAGATGGCCTAAAATGGACACCATTTTTCATTCCAGGATAGCAACAATGCAGTCAGGAAGCTCAGAAAAGCAAGGATTGGCTGCCTCAGGAAGATCGCATGAGGGGAATCTGGGTGGTCTGTACCAGAGGCTGGCCCCTCCCAGATATCTCTAGTCCCTGCCTGCCCCACCTGCAGCTCCGAGATGCTCATCTTGTGATAGATCTTCTCCTCATCGCGCCGCTGGTCCTGGGGCACTGTGATGTTGGCCAGTTGTATCTCCAGCTCCAGCACCTGCTGCATCTGCTCCCGTGAGGAGGTTGGCTGTCCACCCAACAGCATCCCCAGCTCTTCCATGTAATCCAGGTAGGCAGTGAGCACCTGTCAAGGCCCGAATAGTCTTCATAGCCCAGCAACAAGTCCTGCCTAAGGCAGAGAGGATCTGTCTGTTCTGGCCACCACCTGGGCTCACTATCTCCTCTGCTTGATCCTCCTAATGGAAGCCTTTGTAGATGACCCTGTTTCATTTCTGACATACTGCTTACCACTGTCAGCTATGTCCTATTAAATTTGTGCACTTGTTTGTCATCTATTTCCCCAAGGAAAGGGCGAGTTCCAGGTGAGCACTGTTCCAAGTTACAGTGGCTTATTCGCCAGTGTGTCCCTAGGGCCTAGAACAGGGCCTAGTACAAAATAGGTGCTCTGTAAATATTTGTCCAGTGGATGGACCTGCTCCGTACTGCTTCGCCTCATTTCCTAAAGCCCTTCTAGTGTCCCAGCCCATCAGTGGCCACATATCTTCACTGAACAGCTGCCTGGACCCCACAGGGAATTTGCTACCTTTCATCCTGCCAGGCCTCACACTTGCTGCTTTCAGCTCTCCCCTCTGGTCTCCAAGGGAGAGAAAAGCACAGAAAGGAAATATTTAGTGATCTGGGCATACAGGTACCAGACTCTCTGTTAGAGGCTTTATTGGACCCCACAGGGAATTTGCTACCTTTCATCCTGCCAGGCCTCACACTTGCTGCTTTCAGCACTCCCCTCTGGTCTCCAAGGGAGAGAAAAGCACAGAAAGGAAATATTTAGTGATCTGGGCATACAGGTACCAGACTCTCTGTTAGAGGCTTTATATATAATGTATTTTCCCTCCACCCTCCTCAGCAGTTCCATAAAGTGGATATTAGTCTCATTTTACACACGAGGGAACAAGTTTGGGAAGGTGACATGATGGGAGTCATATCACAAGCTAGCAGATGGCAGAGTCAGAACGTGGCCCAGCCCTGAGGGGCCCAGCACTACCTGGGCCCAGCACAAATTCATGTGCCTCATCACCTGTTGGCACTCAAGCTCCAAGAGGGCAGGGGCTTTGCTTCCACCACCACTGTAATCTCAGGTTCTTGCACACTCTGCCACACAGTAGGTGCTCCATAAATATTTGCTGAGTAAATGGATGAAAATCTGCAAACAGACCCTCAGCACTGCTCAGCACCAACTCCCCATGGCCCTCTTCCCAGAGACCACTCCACACTCAGCCTGAAGCCACACGTGGGACTCCTTTAATTGTCAAGGGCCATTATCTCTTCTACTCTACTGAGAAGTTTTAGATCTCTCAATAACCACTCTCTACACTTCAGAATTTCTCCTTTTTCCCACCTCTCCTTTTCCTTGCAGGCAGCATCAGAGGAAGAGGTTTGAGTTCCAATCCCAGTCACCCTAGCCCCTAAGGGGGACGGTTAGCTCCACCAGTATCTCACTCTACTCCTTTCTCTCCTTACCTCTTTACCTTTAGCTTAAGACTTACTTTTGAGGCTTTCCTGAACCCTGCTTTCCTCCTAGTTTTATCCTGTCTTAACCTTTTGTGCTGCAGCTTCCCCTAGATCCCAGCACAGGAGGTTTCCCACCCAAGGCAATCAGTGACACACTGACAGCCAAACCCAAGCCTTTCTCCTCGCCCTTTCCGAAGTGTTGGACGATGTGGTTCTCTCTTGCATCCTCAAAATTCTTTCCTCCCATGACTCAGGTGATGTCAAAATCACACATCTGCTCACAGCACTTTTAAGTTTCCCTTTCCATTTCTTTTGGGATAAGTCCTAAATTTGACCCACAATATTCATGAATAATATGAGTCTACACACCTGTTTACTCTCCCCTCCCCTCTTCCACTGAACATGGTCAATAGAGAATACTCCCTCGCACTAACAGCCTTTGCAGAAGCTGTTCCCTTTGCAGAATCCCCTCCCTCACCCTAGGACTAGGCTGGTTCCCGATTATAGTCACTTTCAGAACCACATGCTTCTCCTCTATAACAGTCCCAACAACTGTAAACAGGACAGCTGTGTAATGAGGTATTTCCTGTCTTCTCCCCCACTTAGAGGGCAGTGGCTATGTCTTAGTCACTACATGCTTAGAGGAGGGTCTGGCCAAGGAATGCACAACGTCTGTGAGTGAATAACAGAAGGACAAATTAATCTCCTGGTTATCCTATTCCACAGCAGTCTCCTTTGCTGCCTCCTTCTCTCACTGCCCTTAAAAATACAAGGATCTCCTTCTTTCCTGTCTGTATTCTTCCCCCTTTCTCTCACCTCTCCTGAGCCTTTGTCTAGGCCTCTAAGAAGATGCCCCTCAAGCCGATGGCTCTCTTCAGGTTTGTCTTCTCTCCAGCACTCCACACAACTTTCACAGCTACCTGAGGACCTCTCCATATAGAAGGTGCCCAGGTCCCTCCAACTCACACATCTAAAATGAGCACCCTGAGTGTTGGCCACATGCTGGAGCATAAGCTTGCACCTCTCCCACCCACCCCAAACACCATATGAAGTAGATGCTATGATCCCCCTTTTACAGATAAGGAGACAACCTCAAAAAGAATAACCCACTTGCACCAAACAGCAGAGTTGATATTGAAACCCTGGTCTGACTCCAAACTCTTTCCTTTTCCTGTGACATTACACTGTCTCTTCCCCAATATACCTACCCTAACCTGGTTCTTCCTACAGAGGCCCCTGATTCCCTAAGGGCCCCTTCGCTCCACCATCACTCGGGCTTACAGCTCAACCTCAATCCCTACCACTTCCCTCTTCTAACCTACAGTCACCAACAACTCATGATTCTTACTTGATTGCACCTCTTGCAACCTCCCGTTCCTAACATTCCCTCTGCCACGTCCTCCATTTGGGCCATTGACTCAGAGTCTGTAGTACTGCAGAGACTCTTAACCCATCTCCAGGTTTCTCACACCCCAGCCAAACTGGCTTCCCACAACACTGCTCACTGGGTCACTCCCTCCCTGCTCTGGAACATGCAATGCCTCTCTGAGGGCTATAGAATAAGCTACTGAGTGTGGCATTCAAGGTCCTAGTCCCTGCCCACCCTCCCAGCCTGCCATCTGCTTTGAGCACCACATTTTCTCAAACTGGACCCCTTCCCATGGCCCAAACACACTTAGCCTTTCCCTCTTCAATGCTTTTGTTTAAACTGTTCCCTCTCCCTAGCACGTCCTCATCTGCTCCTACATATTCTACAGGGCCTGGCTCAAATCTCTTCAGGAAACCTTCTCTGGCTACCTGAGTCTCTCCTGAGTTCTAGAGACCCTCTTCTGAGCCTTGTTCTCAACTATCTAGGTCAATATATCCATCAACATTGAAAGCTTCTTGTGACAACGGCTCTGAAACTTATATCTCAGGATTCCGCCACTGCACCTGGCACACAGTAGGTTCCTATAAAATGTTTTCCTAGAAGAATAACAGAAACGAAAGAAGAGAGGGCAGTTGGCTCACTAGGTGACAGGATAGGCTCGCCTTCCCCATACTGACCCTGAGCAAAGGGAAAAGTAAACAAGGATCAGCCCAGTTCAGCAAGGGGTAGAGACAGGGGTTCTGAGGATGCTACTTACTTTCTCATTGGCAGTTCTGTTTAAGTAATAATCTCGAGAGGGCAGAAAGAGCCCAGACTGGTCTACCTGCAATGGCAAGGAAAGAAGGTGAGGCCCCCAGGAACCTGGACTCCTGTGCAAGGGAGGCCAGCCCAGCCTGTCTGTCACAGGAGAGGGGCGTCTAGACTCAGCAATGGGACCTGAAGTCCTTCCCCACCCTTCCCCAGTCCTGCACCTGGATAACATTGCTGTTGGAACTCTTCGAGTCGGCACTGATGTAGACGGTGAAGAATGGGGTGGCCCTGTAGGTCCCTGCTACTGCCTTCAGCACGTCCATGAAGTTGTCCTGGTCCCAGGGCCCCGTAATGTTCCAACCACCGATCTGAGTAGAGACCATAAGTGGAATCTATGGCACAGGGAGCCCCCAAAGCTATCTTGGGCCACATCTTCTCCCAGGGACACCCCTGCTCCCCCTGCCCGCAGCCAACCCAGTGGCCCTACCTTGTCAATGAGGTCTCGCAGTGGCTGGGCTCCCAACTCCTCAATATGCTCCACCTGTAAGCAGGACAGGTAGAAGCGCTGCGTCTTCCGCTCAGCTTCGCTGCTGGAGTTGAAGGTAGTGTTTTCTGTGGGGTAGAACAAGGGTCCAGGTGGTAATTAATTAGGTTAACCACTGAGGGGGAGTCCCTGGCCCTTTCTCGGTTCTTCTCCTTGGCTTCTCAATGAGCAGTCCTCCTAATGTAGACCCAGGAAGACTGTCTGAAACAGCAAATCGTGGTTTCCTCTCCCCTATGCATGGAAACCCTCAAAGATATCTAGGCACTATAGGCCCCCTGATGTCCAACATACCTCAACAGTGCTGCAGGCAGAGTGCAGAGAGGAGCCGCTCCATTATACTCAGAGGTCTGCCCCCCTCAAACCCATCTCCACTTCTCAGGGGCCCCTTTTCTTTGCATCCCCTCCCTCAGGAGTGTTCACAGAGCTATCTACTTCATTTGTGGACATTTATGCAGTACCAACTAAGTGCCAGGCTCTGTGGTGAGCATAAGGCATGTACCTGGCACAACAACTCCCTCACAGCACCACTCACCAAGCAGGAGCTTCAGTATGGCCTGGTTCTGGTCCCAGAGGCTGTTAAAGGTGTTCCAGCGAGAATGCCCATCTGGCAGGGCGTTCCTCCGAATCCAGCCTCCGCAGGAGAACTGGTAAAAGTCCTCACAGGGGCTCACCTCCCGGTCCAGGGACTCCAGGATTTTTCCAGCCACTCGAATGCAGGCCTCTGTGAGGCAGGTGCTGTGGGATGGGTCTGTGGCAGTGGACATGGCCAGAGGGTAGGAGACAGTCAATCTGGGAGAAGCAAATTGTTTGGAAGGGCCACGAAAGCAGCAAGGTTGGGAAGAAAAAGAAAAGCCAATGGCTTTTCTGTGTGGAAGGCTGGCCTCAACCAGAGAAAAATCTTAGAGGTCCTTCAGCCTCCAGACCGCACCCCCCCCCATCTGTGAGGGCTGGTAATAGGTGTGACCCCACCTACCTCTGTGGTACTGGACCCCCAGGGCCACAAGGCAGCCCAGAAGCAGTGCAGCCAGCAGTAGAGAAACACTTGCCAAGACCAGTTCCAGCCGTGTGTGTGAGCCTAAGAGTTGTCTTGTCCTCTTCCGGAATCCCACCTGGGGAACACAGGGGGACGGAAGGCAACTGAGCTGCAGAGTGGGGACCCAAGATCACCAGAGGGTGAAGGCACAGGCAGTTTCCATTGCCATGGAGCAAAAAACGCTAATAGGGTTAACTTTGGGCCCAGGGGCAATGAGGCAGGCCGAGTTGAGCCCTGAGCCTGCTTTGTGCAACGTCATGGCTTAGAATCACCTCACCATAGTCCCAGCGCAGAGGCCAGAGATGTAACGGAGGTGGGGGCAGGTGACCCTCCAGAACAGCCCAGAGCTCCTGGGTGTGCCAGGCGTCGTGCCAGGCGTCGTGCCAGGCGTCATGCCAGGGCTTGGGCCTGGTGAGAAAGGGGGAACCCCCTTGCCCACCTCCACTGCGTCCTGGGAGGCCCCGCCCTCTACGGGGGTCTCGGGTGCGTCTTCGTCCTGAAGCGTGGCCCGTTTGTACTCCACCATCTGCCAGACAGTCGGGGGCGCCAACCGAGGTCAGGCAGAGAGGGCTGTTTGCCCACGGCTCCGCCCCAGTGCCCCTCGCCCGGGGGTCACTCTCCGGCCTGCCCAGCTGTGCCGGCCTGGGGACCCTCTGACGCCGTCCCCATCCCCCACCCCCATCTCCGCGACGCCGCCCGTCCCTCCGCCTCGTCCTCCCCCACCCGGGTCCTCTCCCCCGAGTCCACAGCCCGCACTCACGTTGCCGCCGCTGCCCAGCTCCTGCAGCGCGACGCTCATGGTAGAGTCCGGCCGGGTGTCGTCTTAGGGCTCCCGGCGCGTGGGGGAGGGGAGGAGCGCGCCCGCGGCTCTCCGCCACTTCTTCCTGGTCAGCCCCAGATCTCGGCAGCACGCTCCACCCGTAGTTTACTTTCCTTGGACCCAGGCCCCAACCCCTATAATACTGCTTGGCCCAGTTCCCCAAATTTCAGGCCTTCTCCACCCCCTTTAAATACCTTAGACAAATGATGCCCTCCTGAGGAACATCCTCCCCCAGTAGTCCGCACGGCCGCTCTTCTCAGCACATACAGAGCACGCACGCAGTTCACCCACACACAGGGTGTCCACACAACATCTGCACAGAGAGCACACAGACCCCAAGTACACAGGCAGGCATATGGACACACACACACACACACACACCCCTAAGACACTCACAGAAGGTATACGCACTGCAAACATACACAACGTATGCGTGCACGACAAACCCAGAGACAACCCACAAAGTGCTCTGTCGTTCACACACGAAGAACAGGGCAGCGTACACTACACACACAGCCCACACTGACTCCACTTTTACATGTTGCTTCAAGACTGCACTTTTACTCTCCAAGATAATTGCTGTCATCAGATCATCTCATAAAGGGAGGGTTACAGATGGTGACAAATTGGCAGGGAAAAAAACAGCCATTCACAGATATTTAAAGAAAAGACGTGCTAACACTTCCATCTTGAGGAAAGCAAACCATTTTATTCGGGAGGTTTACGGGGGGGGGGGGGGAACCAAGCAATACTTAACTGAACGGCAATAGTGTAGCATACATGCATCTGCCATCTGCCTTCCATATTTTCATTCCTTAATCTGGCCCGGTGTTGGTGCAGTCTGCTGCACTGAAGAGTGCCTAGTGGTTTTTACAAACAGAAAAAGAAGAGAGAGTACCTCATCTCTCCCGCCCCACATCTCCCCCCACCAAGAGTGTACAAGAATTTGACCTGAGAAGGCTTGGGGTGGTGGCAAATACATAATCCATTTCCCAACCCCCACCTCTGTTCTCAGACATCTCGCTGCAAGTGGTTCTAACTGGAATGTTCCTGTGGCTGAGATAGAGTGGATGATGGATGGATGAGGCTGAAAAGTGTTGGATTGCTTTCTTTGGCATTTTCCACCCCAAAATTGAATGTTCTCAAACAGGAGACATTACAGTGTCACAGTTAGGGTGAAAGATTCTGGATTCAGACTCAGTTTCTTCATTTGTAGAATAAAATAAGAATAGGACCTACTTCAAAGAGCAGTTGTGAGAATTAAATGAAACAGTACTTGTAAAGTGCTTAGGACTGTGCCTAGCACATAATGGGCACTCAGTGTTTTATTATTATTATTATTACTATTATTATTATTATTATTATTATTATATTTATTATTTCATTTGAATTATTATTATCATTCACATGCTATAGGTAGAAATGAGAATTGTAAGGCTGGAGGTGGCCTGTACTATTTCCCACATGGTAGAGCAGGCAGATGGGTTCTAGGTTAGTCAGGGGTTCTCTGAACAAGGAGCTTTCACATCCAGCCATACTGGAGGCTGCAATATCAAGGCCTTGGGAAATCTACTTGGGACAAGTCTCTGGAGTTGTTCATGTTCACTTTGATGACAATGTGACATCAGAGCACTCACCTTTTTCCCCTTTCCCCATGAGACTGGATGAAAGAAAATATGGCAGCAGGGTAGGATGGCCATATGAGTGTAACCAAAGCTACTGCATAATGACCTCCTGGCAGCAAGATCATTAGAAATAGTCCCATGGCCACTGCAACACCACAGTGGAAATAGCAAGCTTATGCAGCACTTCACTATGTGCCAGCCACTGTTTTAGATGCTTTACATCTATATACTCATTTACCCTCATGACACCTATGAAGCCATTCTACAGATGAGAAAACTGAGGCATAGAAAGGCTCAGAGCCACACAGCTAGTAAACGGCAAAGCTGGGATTCACACCCAGGGAGTCTGGCTCCTTTCTGGAGAACAGTTTAGCAATATGAGTCAAAATGAAGTTGTACTTTCTCCCAACATTAGTGGCTAGTATTTTGCTAATCTCCTCTAGAAGAGTAAGTGAAAACACCTCAGTTTTCATTTGTTTGGTTTCTTGGCTGGCCTGTACCACATCAGTTTTCAAGTCATGCAGACCTGGACTAAAATTTGGGCTCAATTCTTTATCAGCTGTATGATTTTTATCTTTACCCTTAATTTTTCTCATCTATAAAATGGGAACAATCATCCCTAGCTCAGAGAGGTGCTGTGAGAATTAAATGCGACCACCTATGAAAGAGCCTGGTAGCTATTTTTACAGTGTTCTTGAATTCACTAGGTTTGGCCTAGATGGACATTTTCTTTTCATGCCTATTTCATGACCAAAATCATTTATTAGGCTCATCACTATTCCTGACTACATGTTAGGTACCCTCTGTATAGGAGGTTTGCAGGATACTCTTTTCTTTTTTTTTTTTTAAAGATGACCAGTAAGGGGATCTTAACCCTTGACTTGGTGTTGTCAGCACCACGCTCACCCAAGTGAGCTAACAGGCCATCCCTGTATATAGGGATCTGAACCCATGGCCTTGGTGTTATCAGCACCACTCTCCTGAGTGAGCCACAGGCCGGCCCTAGGATATTCTATTCTATAGTTCTATTTTCTTTCCTTTGTGTTTATCACCTTTGACTCTGTTTTCCTCTTATTCTCATTTTATTTTTTTGTCTCTTCTCTTTCTTTCCTACATAGGTAAACTTTTTCTGGTCTTTCTTTCCCTGTGTTGATTGTAAATTGAGAGGAAACGGACAATTGTGTTAAATTTACAAACACAATGTAGTCATGAGGATAACAAGAAACAACAATGTCCAGTATTGAGAAATACGGGAAATATGAGCACTGTCATATATTGCTGGTGGCTTATAAATTGATATGACCTTTTGGCAATAGGAATCAAAACATGCAAAAGTGTGCACACTCTTTGACCCAGAAAGTCTAATTCTAGGAATTTGTTTCAGAAAATCATTATCCACAGGACATTTGTATCAGTTGGCTTTTGCTGCATAACAAACCACTCCAAACACAGTGGATTAAAATAACAAAAGAAGGGCTGGCTAGTTAGCTTAGTAAGTTAGAGCATGGTGCTGATAACACCAAGGTCAAGGATTTGGATCCTCATACCAGCCAGCTGTCCACCCAAAATAATCATAATAACAAACGTTTATTATTTCTCATGTTCTATGGTTTGATTGGGTGGTTCTTCAGCATGGAGCCAGCTCAGCAGGAGCTGGATGGTCTAGGATGGCCTCGAAAGGCCTCATTTACATGCTTGGGCTTCAGTTAGGATGTCTGAACTCTATCTCTTTGTAGTCTCTCATCTTCTAGTAGGCTAGCCCAGGCTTCTTCATATAGTGGTCTTAGGATTCTCAGCAACAAAAAAGGGGGCAAGCTCCACTACGAAAACATTTTTTAAGCCTCTGCTTGCATCACATCTGCTACTATTCCCATTGGGCTTTAAGCCACATGGTCAAACTAGATTCAGGGATGGAGAAATAGGCTCTACTTCTTGATTGGAGGAACTACAAAATATTGTGGCCATTTTTTTCCCTACAACATTTGTTTATTACAGCACTATTTATAATACAAAACAAAACCCAAAAAACTAAGGGGGGAGTCCAAGAGTAGAGGACTTGATAAATCAAACACTCACAAAATGGGATACTATGTAATATTTACAAATGACAGAAAAGAAGAATTAATGCTAGGAGGAAAGGTTCTCCCTATGGATTTAAGTGGAGGAGAAAAAGGGTTACAAAATCTCATTTTTTTTTCCTTTTTGTCTTTTTTTTTTTTTTTTCGTGACCGGCAACGGATCGCAACCCTCAGTGTCGCGCCCGTACCGGACCGGGACCGGCCACGGGATCGCAACCCTCAGTGTTGCTCCCGCACCTCGCTCAGCCAGTGAGCAGCCGGTCTGCAACAGAATCTCATTTTTGTGAAGTAAAAAGTATAAAAGTACAGGTTACAAAAAGATTGGAAGGGTAGGTGACAAAATGTTAGTATTAATGTATCTGATGATGACGTTACTTTTAATTTCTTCTGTATTTGTTTCTGTATAATACAGCATAATAGCTAACATTTCTGTAGTCCAACATTTACCTAAGCATTTTATATATGTTAACTTACTTAATCCTTGCATTGACCCAATAAGAGAAATTCTACCAGTATCATTGTTCCTATTTTACAGATGAGGAACCTAAGACACAGGGAAGTTTAACAACTTGCCCAAAGTCACACAGCAAGTACAAGACAGAGCCTTGACTTGAATCTAAACTCCACGCTCTTAACCACTACACTATTCTCATTTCAAAGTCAAATGAATTGTCTGGAGCAAGAGCATGATGTTTGGTAAATGGACTATCTCGTTGGCTTTAAACCTTTTAAAAAGAATCATTAAAACCTTTTTATTGCAAATGTAATATACTCCAGAAGTATATAGAATAAAAGATGAAATTCATTCTGCTGGGATCCCAGGGCCATCCTCAAAGATAACCATTATTAGCAGTTTGGTATGGATCCTTCCAGATCTTTCTTTTACATATATTTGCATACCTAAACGCACTATATGTATGTATATATATAGTGTGTGTATATGTGTGTGTGTATGTATACTTTTTGCACATATATGAAATTATACTCTACACTTGTTATATGGTGACATTTTGGCAAGTCTTGGAGATCTTACCATGCCTGTTCACACATATCTACCTCATTCTTTTTTTTTTTTTTTTGTAATTTTTCAGCTTCTTTTAAATAGGATGAATCCTGGAAATACCCTCACAGTGTGGGCTTCCTTCAAATGGACAGGGTAGGAGCAAAGGGCCCCCAGACGGAGTTTAAAAGAGGAGAAACATAGTCATGAGAGATGATAGTAAAAAGATTACCCCCAAAATATTTGTAACTGCTTGCATTTGCTTCTTAGAGCTGCAGTAACAAAGTACCACAAATTGGATGGCTTAAAGCAACAGAAACTTATTCTCTCACAGTTCTAAAAACTAGAGGTTCAAAATCAAGGTGTCGGCAGGGCCTTGATCCCTCAGAAGGTTTCTAGGGAAGAATCCTTCCTTGCCTCTTCCAGCTTTTGGTGGCTCCTGGAAACTCTTGAGTTTCCTTGCTTGTAGCTCTATCATTTCTATCTCTGCTTCCTTCATGTGGCCTTCTTTTCTGTGTGTATGTGTCTCTGTGAGTCTGTCCTCTTCTTATAAAGTGACTGGAGTTAGGGCCTACCCTAATCCAGTATGGCCTCATCTTAATTTAAATAATTGTATCTGCAAAGACCCTATTTTCAAATAAGGCCACATTCTAAGGTTACAAGTGGACAAGAATTGGGGTGGGTGAGGTGTTCTCTATTCATCCCACTACACAGGTCTACAGTTTACACCTGAATAAAAATGTCATTAATATTCAATTGCCAAAAGGCATACTATTCTGTTTAGAATATATGGAGCAAGTACACTAGTTTTTGAGGGACTTTCAATTGAGAAACTCAATGCACTGTCACACAACTCCATACAAACTTTATTATGTTTTAGTTGTGAAAATGAATTTTCCTCTCATGGGCAGGGATGCAGAACATCAGATTTTAAATAGAGGATCAGAATTTAAAGAACTCCCCCCCACATTTTTACAACATAACTGAAGTTTATATATTGCAATATCTTCACAATTTTGTACTCAGGTCTTTTGCTTTAACCATGACCCAGCATGCACAGCATAGGCAGGAATGATTATTTAAGAAGGAGCTAATCAAATAAATTCCAGGTTAAATTGTTACTCCTCCAATATCCCTCATTCTGGGCACTAAGAAGAGAATTGTTTCAATTCCCCATGTAGTACTCTCATCTCATCCTTGGCAAGGACCTTCATGGCCCCTTCTTTAGCATTTTAGGTGAGGGTGGCTCATTACCTCCTGAGACAACGCATTCACCTCAGGACAATTTCATTTCATCTGCAAAACTGTCCTTAATAAGCAGGTTCTATTATCTCTATGCTTCAGACTAGAACAAGGTGTGCAGAGAGGCATGCATATTATGCAAACACATGGGGTAAAGACAAAGGATATACAGTACATCAAAGGTTTAATAAAACAAGTACAAATGAATTAATTTTAAAAACCATACTTATAGGGCCTTCAGTTCAAGATCACCTATAAAGTGGCACGGTCAGGATTGGAACCCATTGCTGGACAACTTCCAGTGGGGATGGAATTTTCCGGACTCTCTCCTAGTGACCCTGAGCTCCTGCCTCTCTTGTCCTTCCAGGTGTCAGGGCTCCTCTCATTCCAGGTTGGCCTTCACTTCCAGCCAAGGACCTCAAGACCCTCATCCCAGAGACTAGGATAGAGCACAGGAAGACTTGATAGGGATGGGACCCCAGGCCTGGGGCCTTGAGTGAGGCTGTCACGGAGGCATCCCCTAGCATGGCCCCGCCTCCCCCCCCCATCCAGTTCCCATAGGCAGCCACCACTGCATATGCCTCTGTGTCCCTGGGACTAACACTTGATGAGGTGTTGGAGGAAGGAGCTCCTACACCAGGAGGCCTCACTAGCTGTGTGATTTGGCCAGAGTAAGGGAGGAAAGAGCCTCTGCCTGAGGTGTAGACTGATAGAGTGATTATTACCCTTATGAGCGCTGTAGTCATTGTGGCCGAATATGAGACACCACCTCCCCCCGGTGCCAGTGATTGCGCTAGCTAACAGGTGACGCCGCAGCTGACGGCCAGGGCTGGGGGTGGTGAGGGGCGGGGTGTCGGGCGGAAAGGGGACAGAGAGGGTGTTCCCATCCGTGCAGCGAGAACTCTCCAGTGGTCCCCCGCAAAGAGGGCTGGGGGCGCTCTCCGTCGATCCCTCATTCCCTCGGGACGAATCGGCGGGCGCAGCGTCCTCAGGCGCTCCGGGCTTCCCCGCGTCATCCGCAGCCAGGGCGCCCCCCGCGACGCCGCCATTCGTCCTGCTACACTGCAAGCGCAGCGCTGGCCTCCAGGGCCAGGGGAACCGCAAGGCGCGGCGGGCGCTTTGAACCCGGATTTCTGCGCCAGCAGAGGGGCTGGGGTGGGGCTGGGGGCGTGCACCCTGGTGCGCGCGGCGTCGGCCCAGTTACTAAGACCCCTCCTAGAAGAGACAGACCGAGGAGACCGAGTGGCACATAGGCCAAGCATGGAGACAGATACAGGAAGGCAGAAGAACTTAAGAGACAGGCGTAGACAACGACTGTAACGCAGCGAAAGAGAGATGGGACAAAGAGAGATACAGACAGGCACACAGAGACAGACTGAGATATAGACAGGCAGAGAAAGAGATCCAGAAGGGCAGTCAGAGACGCACAGACCCCGATGAACAGCTTGAGACCGGCAGAGCAACTAGGATACAAGAGCGCCGACTGCAAGGGCACCACCCACTGCCTGAGCTCTTCCCGCGTCCTGCGGGCTCATGCCTCTCTCGCTCTCCGCCCGGTACCCGACCCTCCCCCCGCCGCATTTCCAGTGGCCGTCCTTTCGATTGCCAGCCCTGTTGCCGCCTTCCGGCCTCGACAGCTTCCCCTTCCCTCACCCCCAGCCCCCAGTCCCCCTTGCACTCCTCTCCTAGCCTCAGTGTCGGACCACCCCCCCCCACGTCCCCGTCCCAGTACGGGGCTCGTTCCCGCTGCGCCCCGCCATATCCCGCCTCTGCTGTACCGT